GATTCTAATCACGCGAATGTTTTTATGAGCAACTGTTCATCGTTAGTTGCAAGCGACGGTACAAACATTTTTCCGACTGTGACCGAATGTGCAACGATATATTTTTCAAAGTTGTTGTCAATTCCTAAAATTTGTTTATAGTAAAACGGCCTGCTCAGCACTCACTACTCACGATGATTTCATTTAGAAATGCAGTTACCAGGAAAGGAACTGATTCTAAAATATGTAAATTTAAAAGCATTGGCTAACAGAATAAAGCGATGTGAAGACAAGGTACAAACTTTTATAGTTGCTATTTGTTATAAAATCCTATAAATAAACCGATTCAACAATAATATTGCCTCGAATTTGCATATTCTATGCCGCATGTTTATATTTTATTTTTATAGTATAAAAATAAAATTGTAATACTATGAAATAAAATACATTTCTATTTATTGACCAGTACTTATTTAATGTCTTCTTCATCCAGTGGTCAGAGTAAATTTCTACTTCTAGCAAGTAAATATTTGACAAGCAGTCTGGAATAAGCACAGGAATAAGCACAATGAGCCATTTTATAGTAGCAATATGAAAAGTTTTTTTCTTTTTCCATGACTTTTAATGCATCAGCCAAATCCAAGTGTGCCCATCCCCCTCGCCCAGCCATTTTCCTGTAAAGCACATCCCGGGGGTTGGGTATTTCCACTCGAACCTTAGCCCCGGCGGGGCATTTGAAATTAATAATTTCGATTCTTGCACTTCACTTGGTGGAATTAATATTAGAATGTTAGGGTTTGTAATCCAAGTGAGAATATATACATGTATATATTTTGTAATCCAAGTGAGAATATTTTGTAATCCAAGTGAGAATATACAAATGTATAGTACATGTATATATTTTGTGTATATATTTTGTAATCCAAATGAGAATAGTTTGTAATCCAAGTGAGAATATACAAATGTATATATTCTCACTTGGATTACAAACCCTAACATTCTAATATTTAATTCCACCAAGTGAAGTGCAAGAATCCAAATTATTGAAGTCCACCTTATCACAACCCGCACACCCGATAACCTAAATATACATGAACTTACGGTTAAAGCTCAACAGCTGGCCTCTGTAGCTCAGTTGGTTAGAGCGCTGCACCGGAATCGCAGGGCCGTAGGTTCAATTCCTACCAGAGGACCTTGTGCTGCATTTTTCGCAGTCGTTCCTGGTTAGGTCTTAAAATGTATATATTCTCATTTGGATTACAAACCCTAACATTCTAATATTAATTCCACCAAGTGAAGTGCAAGAATCCAAATTATTGAAGTCCACCTTATCACAACCCGCACACCCGATTACCTAAATATACATGAACTTACGGTTAAAGCTCAACAGCTGGCCTCTGTAGCTCAGTTGGTTAGAGCGCTGCACCGGAATCGCAGGGCCGTAGGTTCAATTCCTACCAGAGGACCTTGTGCTGCATTTTTCGCAGTCGTTCCTGGTTAGGTCTTAAAATGTATATATTCTCACTTGGATTACAAACCCTAACATTCTAATATTAATTCCACCAAGTGAAGTGCAAGAATCCAAATTATTGAAGTCCACCTTATCACAACCCGCACACCCGATTACCTAAATATACATGAACTTACGGTTAAAGCTCAACAGCTGGCCTCTGTAGCTCAGTTGGTTAGAGCGCTGCACCGGAATCACAGAGCCGTAGGTTCACTTCCTTCCATAAGGACCTTGTGCTGCATTTTTCGCAGTCGTTCCTGGTTAGGTCTTAAAATGTATATATTCTCACTTGGATTACAAACCCTAACATTCTAATATTAATTCCACCAAGTGAAGTGCAAGAATCCAAATTATTGAAGTCCACCTTATCACAACCCGCACACCCGATTACCTAAATATACATGAACTTACGGTTAAAGCTCAACAGCTGGCCTCTGTAGCTCAGTTGGTTAGAGCGCTGCACCGGAATCGCAGGGCCGTAGGTTCAATTCCTACCAGAGGACCTTGTGCTGCATTTTTCGCAGTCGTTCCTGGTTAGGTCTTAAAATGTATATATTCTCACTTGGATTACAAACCCTAACATTCTAATATTAATTCCACCAAGTGAAGTGCAAGAATCCAAATTATTGAAGTCCACCTTATCACAACCCGCACACCCGATTACCTAAATATACATGAACTTACGGTTAAAGCTCAACAGCTGGCCTCTGTAGCTCAGTTGGTTAGAGCGCTGCACCGGAATCGCAGGGCCGTAGGTTCAATTCCTACCAGAGGACCTTGTGCTGCATTTTTCGCAGTCGTTCCTTGTTAGGTCTTAAAATGTATATATTCTCACTTGGATTACAAACCCTAACATTCTAATATTAATTCCACCAAGTGAAGTACAAGAATCCAAATTATTGAAGTCCACCTTATCACAACCCGCACACCCGATACCTAAATATACATGAACTTACGGTTAAAGCTCAACAGCTGGACTCTGTAGCTCAGTTGGTTAGAGCGCTGCACCGGAATCGCAGGGCCGTAGGTTCAATTCCTACCAGAGGACCTTGTGCTGCATTTTTCGCAGTCGTTCCTGGTTAGGTCTTAAAACGTATATATTCTCACTTGGATTACAAACCCTAACATTCTAATATTAAGTCCACCAAGTGAAGTGCAAGAATCCAAATTATTGAAGTCCACCTTATCATAACCCGCACACCCGATTACCTAAATATACATGAACTTACGGTTAAAGCTCAACAGCTGACCTCTGTAGCTCAGTTGGTTAGAGCGCTGCACCGGAATCGCAGGGCCGTAGGTTCAATTCCTACCAGAGGACCTTGTGCTGCATTTTCGCAGTCGTTCCTGGTTAGGTCTTAAAATGTATATAATTCTCACTTGGATTACAAACCCTAACATTCTAACATTTGAAATTAAGGATTTGGAGGTTTTGCGATCACTGATAACTTGATAATAATATAAAACAAAACACTTCTATCTGCAACTTTTACTATCACTGATACCTTGATAATAATTTAAACCAGTCAAGTTGTAGTTTAAATAGAGAATAATACATGGGTGCACGAAATATCAGATTTATTTCGAGTGTTGAACATGAGTGCGGAGCGAACAAGTGAGCGCATCGAACGAGTGAGATGTCATGTTCAACACGAAAAATAAATCTGGTATTTCCAACCACCCATGTATTTTTCTGTTTATTATATAAAGGACAGTCTTTGAAAAGCGATAATTTTTGCAGAAAAGCGATAATTGAAAAGGCGATAATTTTCACATGTGAGATTATCATGAATAATTTCACATGTGAGATTATCATTTTTATCAGTGCTCGAAATCTCTTTAAAATACTCATTAATAATTCATAAACCTTGTGGCAAACATGTCAGCCATAATATGTCACGTGGAGTGACTTTATATCTGATAAAACACATGTGGCATTATATAATTGTTCAACTTAATTAGCATGATTATACTATGGTTCATCCTAATTAGTATTCTTTTGTAGTCGTATTTTAAGCTATTCAAAACACTCGTTGTCGTGTTTTATCAGATATATAACGTTCGGCTGCGCCTCGCGTTATATATCTGATAAAACACTCCTACTCGTGTTTTAAATAGTACATAAAACACTATACTTTATATGATAAAAATTCATAAATTTGAACCACGCTAGACCATGACAACAGCAAAATGCTCTATAGTATGATGCACAAAATTTTGGGAGATGAAATACACGAACAATAAATCAGAGAGTGTTTGCGTGAATGCGTGAAACTCACTGGTGGGGGTGGGGGGGGGTGGGGGGGTGCAACACCCCTGATAATTGCTCATGAGGAATTTCAGGTAGATTTCCAGTGCACTTTTAGGTAAATTTAAGTAGATTTGCAGAAGATTTTCAGGGGAATTCAGGTAATTCTCAGGACTCATGAATTTGGAAAACAACTGTATTTTCGGAAAAATTATTATATGTCCTGAAAATTTTTTGTACATCTGGAAACATTTTGGTAACCCCCCCCCCCTTTCTATCTAACCTCACACACACCCTGAGACGAAGTGCTAGCAACGGCACTGAGTATACATCTTTTGAAAACAGGCGAGGGGTTATTGCATGCATGTATTTCTAGTAGTGGTAATAATTCTATATTGAAAACTGATCTTTAACACGGTTCTTTTCTTATGAATATTTTTACAAATGAAAAAGCCACTAAAAATATAACTTTTAATTACAAAATCATCAATTCCCCAGATATATTACATATATATGTTAGGTATTTTATTTATTTTATTTTATTTTACAAGATTCGCAGCACCAAACAAATATTAAACTTATTCAAATATAGCATTTGCTGGGACTGACCACAGAGATAAACTCCAATAACGGGGTCCCGACAAAAAAGACAAATTACTATACATGCACAAAAACATTAATTGGCTTTCGCCAAACTGTCAACAACATGATCTGAAAGATAAATTTTGAATAGAACACTAGAGCCAATTTGACGCACACCGATTTAAAGGTTCTACGATTGTCTGGGTAGTATACGTGTTCGAGAAGGTTAAAGTAGTATCCAAATAGTAAACTTTTAAAGGAAGTTGTAGATCTTGTAGTGTCTCTGAGGATATCGGGTAGAAGGTTCCAAACGCCGGGTGCTCTTACGTAAAAACTGTTTTGAAAGCTAACAGTCTTGGATTTAGGTACATTTAGTAGAATACCATTGTCGGAATTAGAGTTTCTGGTTCTACGATTAGAAACCCGTATTGAGATGTTTGTATCAGAGTCATTAACAACACAGTTGTAGAGATAAACTAAATCTTTCTAGAAACTCGAGCCAATAGCAGATGGAAAGAATACCGATAGACTGGAGACGGTCTTTGTACAAAACGTCTGATCTATATAATGGAGGGAAAGGATGAATTTGGTGGCACGGCGTTGGACGCGTTCCATTGTAGCGATGTTAGTTACTGTTTGGGGTGCCCACACTTGACTGGCATACCCCAATTTGCTTCTAACCAAAGACAGGTAAAGAATCTTGCGGACTTGGATGTTGTTGATGTCAGAGGCTGATCGTCGGATGAAGCCAAGCATCATGTTTGCCTTTAATACCGTGCCATGAACTTGCTTGTTCCATTTCAGGTCGTTGGAAATAATGATCCCGAGATCTTTCTGGGTAATTAATGACTTAAGCGATGTATCAATAAGCTGATATTCTGCGATAATTGGTTGACGACTTCTAGTAATTCTAAGAACCCCGCACTTGGATTTATTCAAGTCTATCCTCCAATCGTTGCACCATGTCACAAGTTTATTTAGATCATTTTGCAGACTTTCGCAGTCAGCTAACTTGTTCACGGGACGGTAACACCTCGTGTCGTCGGCGAACATAGCCACAGACGATTGGGTTGAAATTGAATCAGGAAGATCGTTCACAAATACCAGAAACAGTAGGGGTCCTAAAAATGAACCTTGGGGAAACTCCAGATAGAACAAGGAGAGTATGGGACGACTCACCGAGAACTGTTACTCTTTGGTAGCGTCCTGAGAGGTAGTCTTTGAACCATAGCAGAAGATCACCTCTTATTCCAAACCTCTGGTGTTTAACTAACAGAAGGTTATGGCTGACCTTATCAAATGCTTTTGCGAAGTCCAGGTAAACCGAGTCGACTTGACTTCGGTTTTCTAACGACTTATTTATATCATGAAGAACGCGCAGAAGCTGAGAGGTGGTAGACTTGCCTTCGAGAAAACCAAATTGTAGATGGTGAAGTTGACTGGAGACATGATATATAAGTTGGTTATAGACGCAACGTTCAAAAACTTTAGAGACCAAAAACAAGAGAGATATTGGTCTGTAATTTGATACTTCGTTAGCAGGGCCTTTCTTGGGAATTGGAATTATGTTTGAAAGTTTCCACTCGCACGGTAGTTTACCTATGGACAAGCTTTTGTTGAATAAGTCACATAAAGACGAACAAACGCTCGATGCACAGATCTTCAACAATTTTGCGGGAATTTTGTCCTGTCCAGTCTCTTTGTTTTCATCAAGAGCTGCAAGAACGTAGTTGACCTCCTCGGATGTTAGCGTGATGTTGGAGATTGCATCCGATTTAGTGATGGAGTCGTCAGTCGAGTTGGAAAGAGTATGTTCATCATTATTACTATGAGAAGGTTGGAAAACGGAGTAGAAATAGCGATTTAGTAGATTGGCGATGTCGGCTGGGTTGTTGGCTGTAGAGGAGGCCTACGTTGGGGGCCAAGGTCGCCTAATGTCGCCTAATTTCGCCAACTTTCGCCCATGTGCACCCAATTTTTGAACTTTGCCTAACAGTCTATTCGCTTCATGTCGCCTAATTTCGCCTAATGTTGCATAATCTCGCACAAGCATGTCCAATTTTGCACTTTGAGTTTCTCGTCCATACTAGTCTATTCCTAATTTATTTGTTAGTTTTCTGCATGTTTTTTTCATAAATACATGTACACAGACACCAAGGGCATGTGCTGTTAGGGCACCATCTTTCACCAGTATTAATGAGGCTTGGGTATTTGGCGTTTATATGTATATGAATTACAACACATTATTCCAATGAGAATTACCTAAATTATGTTGTTAAGGCAGCCTTCTGGCTATCTTCTCCAATGTGTTTCTTTGTGAAACTCAGTCAAATTAGTCGATCACACGCCATTAAATGTTGTATATGAAATCAAACTTAGATCTTGTTATCAAAGATACATTCATGATAACTGGCAAGTGCAAAAGTACAGAATACCTCTCACTAGCATAGTGAAGTACACTAGGTATCCTAAAGGCCGAAACGGTACCGTCGGTAGTTATATATATAATTATATATATATATATATATAAACTATAAATAAAGAAAGTCATCTATAGTATGTTCAAAATGGGCTATTCCATTTAATATCCGTACCCCCCCCCCCCACCTGTCGAGGATACATGTTTTTCATTGTCATACCCCTGAAGAATTCCAAGCTTGAAACTGTTTACCCCTGAAGAATTCCAAAATTCCAAGCTCAAAACCCTTTACCCCTGAAGAATTCCAAGCTCAAAACCTTTACCCCTGAAGAATTCCAAGCTCAAAACCCTTCACCCCTAAAGAATTCCAAGCTCAAAACCCTTTAGCCCTGAAGAATCCCAAGCTCAAAACCCTTTACCCTTGAAGAATTCCAGGGATCCTCGACAGGGGGGTTACGGATATTAAATGGAATAGCCCAATACGACTTTGTAGTTTGTAAAATAAAAGTACTTACTTTTTGACGAAGCTACGATGATCGACATCTCATAATTAGGTATCATCGCAAAAGATACAGAGCAATAAACGCACCACAGAAAGATCTATGGTACAGGTTGTTTATATAAGATGTCGCCAAGGCCCGCCATAACAATTATCATGCTTCCTTACACGAAGTAGTACAAGTTAGAAGCTAAAGAATTCGACGTGCCGTTGTATTGCGGTCTCAAATCCCAGCCGAACAAGGAACAAGAACAGGTCTCTGAGGTTTTGGATAAAAGGAATTTAATTATTTATTAGTTCAGTTAAAGTAAAGGAACTGTCATCTAATTTTAGTAAAGTAAGTCAGTATAGTTATACAAATGTATATGGATTAAACTTTTTTCTATCTGTTTGCTTTGAAAGTAAGTTCCATTTTTATTGAAACTATAATATTTATAGTTATCACTATTTGAGATATTTGTTTGCCAGTTTGGTGGGTTAGATTTCAAGCATGGTTATGGTGGTACATGATTTACATTGTACACGTTTATGATAGCTAGCTAGCTAGCTGACAATTTATTTACCTTAAATGCCAATTCTTTCACTTTCATCACTGCATACCACAGTCCATAAACAGGTTTTAAAACTCTATGAGGTATTTACACCAGTCAATTTAATGAGAAGTCAGAGTTCCATGATACTGTAAATGTACCATGCACTGCATGGGCATGTATGTGTACTACGGTATAAACTTTGAGTAAATTGTCAGGCTAGCAGTTATGCATGAGTCAATTCCTGGAGTAACCATCCCCCCCCCGGGACACCCCTGGGAATTTGCCAGATAGACAGTTCACGGGGGTCGGCCGTGCATTAGTCTTCAATTTGTGTCCCGGCACCCGGACATTTACACTATCATAACCAATCAAATCAAATGCCCGGGTGTGTTCCCGGGGGGGGGGGATGGTTACTCCTGGAATTGACTCATGCATTAGAGAAATGTTCCTTGTTATTTTTGCTATTTGTAATAAACTAATTGTGTTCTTTGCCACAGGAACCAATTTTTGATAACTAAATTATATTTTGATATTTACTGTCAGTTGTATTTTCTATGTA